CAGCTCACGGCGCATCTTTGGCGTTCCTGAGGGGGCACACACACACACACACACACACACACAGAGACTCAGACTGACATCACACACGCACACGCCATGTGATCCGTGTGTGTGTGTCTCACCGTGCAGCAGAATGTCTCGCAGCGATCGGCTCTCCAGGCACACACACATCAGTACAGGACTTTCATCACGGTAACAACACCAATGACTCTCAATAGAAGAGACAAAACTAATATACTACTGAAAAACATCATAAAAAAAAATTCCCAAAAATTACAGTAAAATATTAAAATACTATTTAACATGAACTGAATATTAATCATAATGGCGATATTAAATATATATTATTTATTATAATAAAAAACAAAAAAGCATACATAATTAAATACAGATAAATAATAAAATTGCACTACGTAGTATGAATTAATGTAATGTAAAATATTATATTTCAAAATATAACATTTCCTAATAACATAACATATATTACATATGAATTAAAAAAATATATATAATAAAATAATGAAATAAGAAAACTGATTTATTATGAATACATGTAATAAAATATAACAAAATAGATGTATAAATTATATAATAAATTCATTAAACATACTGGAGAAATTAAATACAAAAACAAATATACATATACACACACACACATATATATATATTTGTGTGTGTGTGTGTGTGTGTGTACATATATATATATGTGTGTGCGTAATAATGGAAATAATGTAATATACAATATATTAATATAAAATGTAAACATTAAAATATATTAAATATTAACATTAAAATATATTAAATATTAACATTAAAATATAAAGACGTTACATTTTAAATATTAAAATATTATTATAATTTTAATATTAAAGTAAACTAAAACTTTAATGAACTCTAAACATGAATTAAATAATAAAAACTACAACTAATACAAATAATAAGTCCTATTTTTATTACAATTAAATCAAATTTAATTTATTCATTACAAAAATGTGAGTGAAAACAGTGGCTTGTGGCCTTCAAGTATTTCAACACCATGAACACTTTCAGAGCTTTAAGTCCTTTGTTTGGATTAAAATAAAGTCAAATAAAGAACAAATCTGACCCTGAACCACATAAATATGAACCTCATACTGGTCAAAAGCTGAATAAATAAGCTTTACATTGATGTATGGTTTGTTAGGATCGGACCATATTTGAAAATCTGCAAAAAAATCTAAATATTGAGAAAATCATCTTTAAAGTTGT